CCATGTTCCCTTTCCCTGGGCCAACCCTTCCTTTTTCCCCCACTGATAGAACCTGTCCTGGATTCTCTGAACCTCAGTTTTCCTGCCTGTGAATGGGAGAGAAGGGAAATTATCCCTCAGTCCTGGCCCAGAGCCTGATGGATGAAGAAGAGGCAGGGCCCTTGTGTGAAGGGCATGGGAGGTGGGGCGGGGGGGACATCTGTGCCTCTGCAATGGTGCCCCTGGGACCCAGGCCAGAATCTGGTCCCCCACCCTGGCTCAGATGGAAGCTGCAAGCACAGCACCTGGAAAGGCAGGGCATTAAGTCAGATGGGCCCCTCTCTCCCAGCAAGGTCCCCAAGGAGGAGCCCTGGGACAGGTAAGTTTCTATCAGTGAGACAGGAGCATGAGGAAGTCTTGGAACACAGGCGCTGTCTGGGTTAGCTGTCCTATGTGAGGGCTTAGAGGACACAGAACGCTGTCCATTCCTCCCACTCTGGGTGGCGATCAGGGCAGCCATATTTCCTCCTGCCCTTTGCAGAATAAGTAGACGAGTCTATTTTAGAGATGAGGAAAGTGGAGGCCCAACGAGCCAAATCCCCAGAACTAAAGGTGCAGCTGGGATTTGAAACCAGGCCTCTCTGGCTGCACAGTCCGTGTTCTCATTCATTTCCCTCAATGTTATTCCCTGGCAGCAGGACCTAGCTAGAAATGAGAGTGGAGGCACAGGGCGCGGGCCCAGCGCCCGGGAGGCGGCAGTCAGGCAGGCTGGGAAACCCTGGCTGGCGGCAAGAAGGCGAGGGGCTGCAGGCCTGAACCCAAGCAAGCCCCGGACTCCTGGTTTGAACGACTCCAGATCCCCACCTAGTGGTAGGAGGGAGCCACTGCTCGCACAGCGCAGGCAGTCCACAGATGATGACATTAATCCAGCCGGGTCACCAGCAACCATCCTGCGGCAAGAAGCGCCCCTCCCGGGGCTGCGCTTCCCTGGGAGAGGGAGGAGGTGTCACCAGTGCGCGTGCGCACGGAGGCTCATTGGCCTCAGGATTTCGTCGCCGTTCGTCTGCAGACACCCAACATGCAGGCCTGTCGAGCACCCCTCTAGTCTAAACCCCCGGGTTTAGGGTACATTCAGGCAGGGGGGTCTCCTTGGCCCGCGCCTGGCCTCCAGGGCGGGAAGGGGGCTTCTCTCTGGCAGGCCCAACCCTGGCCGCCGCACTGGGTTGAGGGGAATTTCCCCACTCGCAGAGCGCCCCCAGACCCCATCCTCAACCGCCCTTAGGGTTCCCCAAAGGAACGGGAACCATCACTCACTGGTCCAGGCTCCTGGCCGGCCCCACTGTGAACCACCGTGAGCAGGTGCTGGTATCCCCACTCTGCAGCAGTGATGGAGGAGGGGTAAAGTAGCTTGCCCAAGTCCACACATTGGTTGACTACCGACAGGAAACAGGGTGTGCATGGGCATCCAACTCAGGAGGGAGAAGGCAGAGGAGCAGCTCCCTGAAGAAGGAGCCAGTGTGCTGAGTGTTTCAGCGGAAGGCAGGAAGAGCACTCCAAGCCCAGGGAAAAGCATGTGCACATGCGCAGGAGGCCGAGGCAAGGCCAGCAAGATTAGCCTAGAGGTGGGTAGTGAGGGTGGAGTCCTGGGGAAGAGGGCGAGTAGGCAGGACTCACACAGGCCCCACTGCCAGGCTGAGGAGGCTGGGCTTGACCCCAAGAGCAAGGGAAAGCTTTGGGAGGCTTTAACCAGGGCAGTGACTTCATCTCAGCTGCATTTCAGGAAGGCCTTCTGCTCCACAGGAAAGACTGGGGGGCAAACATGCTAGGAGCTTCCCCAAGGGACTCAGATGGAGAGGTCTGCCCTGGCCATGGGGGACAAGGTTGTTGCTCCAGAGGCCAGAAGTTTCCAGAACTTAGGGAGCAGAGAATCCCTGGCATAGCTGGAGAGCAGGGTTTGAGGGCTTGGGAGTGTCTGTGGATGGCCTGGAACTTTCTCCTGCAGAGGCAAGTCCTCAGGCAAGACACACACACACTCTCTGGGCCTTAGTTTCCCAGGAGACACAGGAGGCCCAGTTGGGGAGACCTGAAGCCCTCCAGAGCTCTCTGCAGGGGACTGAAGTGTACTTGGAGGAGGGGCCTCTGGCCCAGGACCTGGGGGTGGGGGCTATCCTGGAGGGACCAGGTGCTCTTCATTCACTCATCCAGCAAGGGCTTTCTGCACGCCTGCCATGTGTTACACACATACACATGCACCTACCACACAGACACACACACACGAACACACAGAGACATGCCCATGTGAAGATGCTTGGTGCGGTAGTTTCCTTGGAGAAACCAGGCCAGTTGCCAGCTCCCCAACCTCTCTAAGGCTCTGCCGCTCCTCTCTGCCTCCAGTTTGCTGGGGCTGAGCCTTTTCCCACCCCACCCCTATACACCGCTCTGTCTTCTCTTGGGAGGGGATATATTCCTTGGATGTCTCTATCTTCTGCCAGATCATTGGCTCCCTCAATGGGGGTGCTGGTGTCTGTTTCACTCATTGCTGGGTCTCCCAGCCTAGTAGGGGTACGTCTGTGGGGATGGCAAGGTGACCTACTGGGTGACTTGCTCAGAACTGAGGGGTCTTCCAGAATTCAGGACGCCAGTACTCAAACCCAAACTGTCATGGGCAACGGGGACAGTTATTGGCAGGCAAAGCATGGAAGTGTGTGGACAGACCCCGGAGAAGGAAATAAATAAGACCCAAAGTGGGAGCAGGATGAACTGGCTAGCCAGTCCAGGGCTAAATGAAAACCATTCCCAGGACAGTCCGCCACAGGGCTGAGCCAAATGCCAGGGGGCACTCTGCGGCCCAGGGGTGGTGGAGCAGGAACACCAGGTTCCAGGAAGGGACAGAGGCCTGGGGTCGGCCACAGTCTGGTGTGGGCCTGTGACCTGCTTCTTAGATGCTCTATGACCTTGGGCCATTTTCTCCTCTGTAAAATGGAGATAATGATACCAACCGCCCAGTGCTGAGAATTAAATCAAATGTCTGCGTGTATGTTAAGCACACAGTGGCTATTCCACAGCTGCTCCTGTTGGGCTGAGGAGCAGGCACCATGGGGCCAGAGGACATCCTGCTTGTTCTCTTTGGGAGAGAAATAAATAAAATTGAGAGGGAACATGAGCCACGCCCTAAGCTAAGCACAGGATGCACCCCCCTCCCCCAGGTAATCCTCTCAACACCCCTGTTAGTGTTTTACCCCGAAAAGCCCCTGCCCCGACCAGGGGTCCCTGCAGGCCCAGCTGGGCTGACTGGAGCCATGAGGCCACCCTTCCCCCGGCCTGCTGGACCTAGGCTCTGAGCCAGGCTGCTTCTCCCACGGACACACCTCCTGGCCAGGACATCCGGGCACTCCTCCCCTGCCCTGTTTGCCCTTTTCCTGCTGCAAGCCTGACTCTCACCCATCATCACTTCATCAGTTTCCAAGGGCCAGGCCCAAGGGATTGCGAAAGAGATTTGTCCTTTATTTACTGGATGGCCTCAGGCACCTCACTTCATTTCTCTGAACCCCAATGTCGTGTCTGTGAAATGGGGACTCATAGTCTCCACCCCGCCAGTGAGGGCTGGGGAGAGGCCACATGTGAAAGTGCGTTGGCTGTCATGAAGGCTTCCTCACAAGAAAGAAATTAGCCTGGGGGACCCGCTTAAACATGGGTGCCTGAATGGCCTTCACTGGTATCCCTTTCTCTCTTTGGGGTCTCTCTTTGGGAAGAAGTTACACACAGTCAACAAATTGTGGTGCTGGGCAATAAAGTCACCCCCCAACCCCCGCCCACAACCCACTAGTCTGCATCTCTCCAAAAGCAGCTTGCTTGAGGTAGAAGGCCAAGCTGTGAGTGACAACCACACCCCACAGGGAATGGAGGCAACTGGAACCTAGAATGCAATTTCCTAATTGAGAATTCATCCAGGCCACCAACCCAGTCCCCCACCCCAAGAATCTTGGCGAAGGCCCTCAAGGTCTGTGACTCTGCCTATCCCTCTGGCTCAGGTTCCTTAAGCATTAAATGGGAACATGGCTCTTGTCTAAAGCAGTTCTGGCTGGGGGTGGGACAGGGGTCACTGGAAACTGGACCCAGGTCAACTGGCCATTTGCAGATCAACTTGATTTTAGTCCAAACTACTTATTTTGCAGATGAGGCTTCTGCAGCCCAGAGAATAAAGTTACATTTTTGGAGGGCACTCACAGCTCTAGAGGCAGAGTTCGACCTTGTACCTATCCAGTTTTCCTACCAAGCAGCTGCTTCAGCCATAGATGAGCATGTAGATAATTATTAAATCACCAAAGATTTGGTCCTATTCTCTGCTACACTGTACTTTGAAAGAGAAAAGAGCTGAGAGCCCAGTGCGGGTACGACATCTGGCCTGGGTCCCATCACCCAGCCGGTGACTGTATCGCAGCGGAAATGACCCTCGACTGGTGTTAACCGGGCTGCTTTCTAGCCGTGTGCCCTTAGGAAACCTGTGTAGGGTTAATCTCTGAGGGTGCCAGAGCTCATCTGGGGACATAAAGGGTCAGCTGGCTTCTAAGCTCCACCCCCTCCAACTCTGGCATTCCCCAGCCAACGGGTCTTACATCCCCTGCCCCCTATTCAGACCTGACCCAGAGCCTTAGTGGCTTTTAATCCAAGGGCGAGATTCTCAGGCTGACCCCTGGGCCCTCCCCAGTCCCCACCACCTCCCCAGTCCCCACCACCTCCCGCTGGAATAACGCAGCCCAAAGCCTCCCCTACGGAGGCAGGAACTTAGGTGAGCAGCTCCACAGGGCACATCCTGCCCTCAACCCTGAAGACCCCACCCTGAAGAAACGCGTAAGGGTGGTGAGGAGGGCGGGTTGGAGCCGAGGGGTCCCTCTCCGCGAGAGGAGCGCCGGATCCCCGCCGATCCTTCCCCTATCCCGCCCCCAAGTCCTCACCGTGGAGTGGGCCCCGCGCTCCCAGGGCCGTGCGGCCCGCCCCCTGCGGATCTCAGCCACAGCCCCCTACGGAGGAGCCTGGGAGGCCGGAGGCCGGCAGCTCCTTCCCGGCAGAGAGAACGCGAGGGCCCAGCCCGGCCGGCGCGCAGAAGAGGACACGCCGGGATCTGCAGCAGCCTGGAAGGTCGCCGAGCTGGCGATGCCCGGCGGTCCCGGCAGCAGGGGAGAAGGCCCCACCCCGAGCCTCAAGCCCTCCGCTCCGCGTGTCCGCAGCCCCGGAGTCCCTCGGTCCCTCGGCGGCCTGTGCCGGGCTCCGGACCCGGCTCTGCGTGCGTCGGTGGCTGCTCCTCCATGCCCGGCTTGCCCGGGTCCCCAGTCTACCTCCCGCTCTCGCCCGAGGCGGGCTGTGAGGCCGCGGCCAGGGCCCTGGCCTGCAGCGCCATCTCGTGGACCTGTGGGGAGTTGCCGAGGCCCGAGGCCTGGGCGGGCTCTGGGTTCGCTCCCACTCGTGCTCCCGGCGGGGAGCTGCTAGAGCTGCCAAGAGGACTCGCCGGGAAACGAGGCACGGCCGTCAGCTCTGGAAATCCGTGCTTCCGGAGTGGGTTCGGGGTCCCCGGCCCCATTCAATAGGAGGAACAGATATGCGCCTCCGGGAGCCAAAAAGAAAGTCCAAGGGCAAAACCGCCCCGAGCGTGCTCGGACACATTCAGCGCCCCGCGACCAGCCTCCACCCCGAAGGCGCTCCGGGGAGGGTGCCCAGGGGGCCCGGAGCTCGGGCTCCCTCCCAAGAGCGCGGGGGCTCCCTCCGCTGCCGCCCAGTCCTGCGAGCATGGAGCGCTCGGCCTCTTGCTGGCTCCCGCCTGACCACCGGTGCTCCGCACCTGGGAGCCAAGGACAGCGACGGAGGGGGAGGAAGCGGGACTGGATTTTGGGTCCTTCCCAGAGCGGAGGAAGGCAGGCTTGGGGTGTAAATCCAGGGCTCGTGGAGGCTGTCCCTCAAGAGGCCGTCCCATAATCGGGAAATAGGGGGTCGGGGCCTCGAGCTGGGGCGCTTGAGCTTGGGAGTCCCGGGGAGAGCGAGGCTGAGCGCGCCCCTCCCGCCCCAGGAGCATCCCGCGCGGGAGTTCGCGGTCAGCTGGGGAGGCGGGCCCGGGAGCTGCGCCCTTCGGAAGGGCAGGGCCAGGCCACACCGGTGGCTCGGGTTCTCCACGGCAGCGGCGGGGGAGTTGGGGAGGAAGGGCTTGAGGGCTCGGATTCCGAGTAGCCCGAGAGGAAATGAGGTCCGCGGGGCCTTGGAATCCGTGCGGCTTCGCCGCTAGGGGGTCTCTCGGAGCCCCGCACTCACACCCTCCGTCTTCGAGTTCCTCCGGGAATCGAACGCGCCACCCCACACCGACAAGCACAATTCCCTCTTAGATCTCACACGCCCTACACGTGGGGGCCCGCGGCGACAGGCTAGGCCGCCAGTAGGTATCGCCATTGCCCCAGCACAGGCCCTCCTGCCACGCGCGTGCCGGTGGCTCTGCCGTCCAAGGACCCCGAGCCAGGCCCTGAAGGGTTAAGGAGGCCTTGTGGCACCGGAGCCGCGCGTACGCGGGGCGCCTGGGCTAATTGGCGACCCTGGGGACAATGAGGGCTGGGAGGCCGGGGAGGAGGGTGGCTTAATTGGGCATGGGAGTGGCCTAGCCTTTGTCTAGGACAAGGCCCAGCCGCCGGCCGCGGGTTCCCGCAGTCGAACTCTGGCCACCAGCTGGGGCCCCGCGGAGCGCCGGGTGGGCGACTCGGAGGGGACCTGTGAGGCGGGAGGTGGCGGCTGGAGTGGAGTGGGGGATCTCGAGGCCCTGGAGTCCCACCCCACTCGGGTTGCTGCAGCAACGACGCGGCCCAAAAACGGCCGCAACGAGGCAGCCCCGCCTGGCCTTCGCAGCCACCATCCTCCCCCGCGCCGGTGCCTGCGCCCGCGCCCCTCCTGCGACCCTAGGTCGGTGCTGCCCCCTGGTGTCCGCAGCCCTGTACGCAGGCCGCCGCGGGGCCGCAGCCGACTCTTGTCTCCCTCCTAGTGTCCTGCTGAAAGTGAGAAGCCGCGGGAAGCAAACGCGCCCCTGCTCTAGGAGTATGAGGCGTTTCAGCCCAAAGCGACCTCCAGCAAACGCGCTGCCCACGAGCTTCTATTTAGGCTGGAAAACGGGCTTCTCTGTCCCCATCGGGTTCCCGCAGGTCTGAGGTCTCAGCCAGAACCCACCCTCTGGGGTTTGGACACGTTCTACTGCAACCTCCCACTCGTGCACTGGCTGAGTCCTCTCCCCGCTCCAGCCGCATTCGGCGTGGCCTGGGGGCAGCCCCCTCCTGAAGAGGCGGGCCTGGTTCTCTCTCTGGTTCCTTGCAAATGTATCGGCCCACGAAGGCATCTAGGCGTCTGGGGGCCCAATTGTTCATTCCATCTTCATCATCGCCCTCCCGCCATCTCAACGTCCTTGGTGTTTTGGAAGCCAGCACCCTCCCCAAACCCCACCCTGTGCAGTGCCCAAGGTGGGCAGCCTGTTGGGGCAGGGCATTCGGGGTCCCCAAGGCTTAAAGAGAACTGGGAAGGAGGTGGGGTGCTCGGTGACCGACCAGACCCAGGGCTGAAGGGGTGCCCGCCCAGTTCCCACCCCTTCCCCACCCCCACTGCTAGGAGTCGGTCTGGAGACACCTGCTAGCTGGGCGAGGAGGATGCGGCTCTGGGGAGCTCACCGGCGCGGGGCGGGAGGCAGATGTCCTCGTAGGAGTGGGTCTCGGGGAAGGACCAGCCTAATGGAGACTGACACAGCGGGACCACGGAGAGACCCCAGCCAAGCCCGTTATTATACAGGGGAAAGTGAGGCAGGAATGGAAATAGCCCACTGACCCCACTCCCCACTTTCCCAAGAGGGATTTAGATAGATGAGTTAAAGTAAGAACTTCAGTCCAGAGTTTGCCACTCTAGCCAACAGCCCTGACGCGGAGGAAATGTTTGTCTTTGAGGTTCAGGAGGCAGAGAGAGGGGAAAGAATTCTAGGCTAAGCGATATTTGGCGGGGCGGTACGGGTGGGACACAGCCAAATCCCTCCTCGGAAGGGAGAGGGCGGACAAGGAGCACCCATCCTCCCAGCCCACCCACCCAGAAGCATTGAAAGGAGATGCGTTTCCAGTGTGGTTTCCCGGAGAGGGAGTCAGAAGCCAGGAGTCCAGGCCGCTCGGCTGCTCACCTCCCGGCCCGGGTGGGTGCCCAGGCCAGTGGCGCGGAGCGGCGGGAGCGGCCGGTAGGGGGAGCCCGGCCCCGGTCTGGGACGCAGCGGGCGTCCCGCGCCGGCGCCGCCCTGCCTCGCGGCTCAGCCAGCGCCCCAGACGCCCTGCCGCTCTGCCGCCCTCGGGGTGCAGCTGTCGCCGAGCGAGGGGCGCGCAGCCTTTTGTCCCCGCCTTTCGTCCCTCCTTTCGAGCGTACAGCGCCCCAGCCCCGCGCGGCCCACAGAGCGCACAGCGCCGTTCACTTCGCTTTGTAGCGTTTTATTGTTTTCTCGCGTTTTTGTCGTTTCGTTCTCGCTCCGGAGCGAAAAGTGAAAACCTGAGGTGGAGCCCGCGGGCAGGGCGAGTCAAACCCGGGCGGTGGGGCCGAGGGGCCGGCGGGGTGGTGGCTCCTCTGGGGCTCAGGGCCTTCTCCCGCAGCCGAGGCCCCCCAAGCCCTGTACAATATAGATGCTCATGTAAAATGAAAAAAACTTTAAATGTATGAGTTAATCTCTAAATATATGTACACAGCAATGTACACCTTTGAATAAATTAATACCAATTTGCGTATTCTGGGAACCTTAAAGCTTATTTACACAAATTACCATTTATTTCATAAATATCTTTTTTTTTCCCCCTGGGGACTCAAGGCAGAAGTGCTACTCCCTCCGCTGACCCAGGGCTGGGATGAGGTGCCTGTCTCTTGGGGAAGAAGTGGGGGGACTAACAGGTTCCCTCCCAGCTCAGGTCTACACTGACTTCAGTCGTGTAACTGGCTCCAGCATCCCTCAACCCAGTTTTCTCACGCGGTCCAGGCCCAAGGCCCAGGGCTCTGGGACTCCCTCCGATGCTCCCACCCCTGGCCCCTGCACCTTCTGGCTTCTGCCGGGACCGCTGGGCCCTGGATGAGGCCTCTCCCACCGCACTGGAAGACCAGAGTCACCCTCGGATGCCACCTTGACGCTGGAGCGATCTGGACCTAGCCCAGCAGCTCCCAAGTGACTGTGTTTCCGGCAGCCTGATTCCTTGTTGAGGCCCAGGGAAGTGTCCCAGGCCCCGACTTGCCAGACGAGGCTCTATTCCGGCTGCTGCAGCCCACTTTTCTCCTTTATTTAAATAAATACCCATTCTGTGCTGTACACATCCCAAGCAGCAGGGGCAGGCAGCCCGGGTGGCCTGCGTGGCAGGGGAGCAGCTGGGCAGCCCCTCACTTGGGCGACTCCCGGCCTGGGGAGAGGGCTCGCTGGCTCTCCAGCCCACTCACCAGTCTCTGGATGCTCTGCAGTTCATTGGCCGCCTCCTTGGCCGAGCCACTGGGCGACAGGGCACCGCGGGACGGGGCCCCTACTTTTCGGAGAGCCAGCTCGGGCAGGGGGCTGGGCTCCCGGCTGTTTCCGCCAGCAGCCTTGGAGCCCTCGGAGGCCAGCCCGGTGGTGAGGAGGCTAGTGCTAGGCGGGATGGTGACCGGGATCTGATAGGGGCTGAAACGCAGTCGGGGCCGGGCACTGCCCAGGAAGGGGCTCCGAGATAGGGAGCCGGCAGCTGCGGCGGCGGCAGCTGCAGCACTAGTGGCGGGCAAAGCAGAGGCGGCTGCGGCTGCTGCTGCCATGTAGGTGTAAGGGTAGGGGAAGAGGCCTCCGAAAGTGGGCATTGGGATTCCCTGGAAGAAACAGAACAAGACAAGGGTTAGACATCTTGCCTGACGTGTGTCTGAAGGTGGGCTGGGTGCTGGGGTGGTGCTATCCCCTGGACACCTTGCCCTGCTGTTTTGGGGATGTAAAACAACAACGCACATAATTATAACCACAGGCAGCACAGGTGAGCATGAGCCAGTGTGCCTGTGGCCAAACCCACTTAGAAGGGCGAGATCGCTTCAGGCTACCATGCAAAGGCCTGCCATCAAGTTCTGTGCTGGGTGTTACAGCAGGGGTAATGGAAAGGACATTCCAGGTGACTGCACTAGCATGGGTGAAGGCCTTGAGGGAGAAAACGGGGCAGGCATAGGGCCAGGTGGCAAACAGGCAGCTTTGGGTGTCTTGGAGGTTCTGCTCATTGAGAACAGTATCCTCACCCCCGTCCTATCTGCAGGCTCTGAAGGGCTGAGGGCACACACCCTGGGGAAGGCACATTGCAAAGTCCCCTTCTGCCTGCTCACCTGCTCAGGGTTCTCCTGCCTGGGCCAGGAGGAGGGCACAGGTGCCAACCAGTTCATAAACTGGCCTGAAAGTTCTACAGGGAACGCCTGGCAGCACCTCACTGGCAGCTGAGGAAGGAATGCAGTCTTTGCCTGTGAAGGGCACAGGAGCCAGGAACTCCTGGACAAGCACCTTCCTGAGTTCATGAGGTCTGGCTGGTGAACGGCCTGACCTTTGAGATAATGGCTTACTCCCCAGAGCCAGTGGGTATGGGGAGGAGGGCAGGGGGCTGATGACTGCGCTGGGCTCCCAGGGAGCCTCAGGCCTGGCTCAAGTAGGGAGAAGAAAAGGGGCAGCTTCATCAGGCCTGAGAAAACACCCTCCTGAGAGGGTCAGGTCCTACTGGGCATTTCAAACATGGCATCTCAGGTTGGGAGAAAGGGAGGCTTCAGATGTCTTGGGATTTGGCTCTACCTGATGTCTAGAATGGGCTGCACTGGCCTGGGAATGTAACCACCAGCAGCCCTAAACACAGATGCCTCCCAGGTACTGGTATTCTCACCCGGGTCATGCACCTGTTGGCCAGGCTGTGTCTAGAAGCCCTGACTTCCTCACGACCTCTGTGATGCTGGTGGCCATTACCAGTTTGTCTGGGGAGGAGGCATTCACATACACAA